TAGGGGGGGTCCTGGAGAGCCCTGGGACGGGCCGTTTCGTAGTCCTGAGTATGATGGACTCACGTTCAGCAGTGCGCGTCAGGTCCACGACTTACACCTCGCTTCCTCTGCGCAGGGATTTCGAACTAACCGGGACCTTTGGCATTGGTGGGGCCGAACGGCCTTGAACCATCGGGAACCACTGGGTCCGAGCCATCCAAACCGTGTTTGGACTGTCTAAGCCTCAATGATTGATCTAGGGGTTTTGACGCGCACCATCGGGCACCCGTGTGGTTGTCTTTGGGTAGTAACTACCAAAGACAAAAATGGGTGAGGTCGCGCAAAAATCCCTAGATCAATCAGAGTTAGACATTAACACCGTTGGATGCCGGCCCAGTGGTCCGATGGTAAGGCGTTCGCCTACAATGCCAAAGGTCCCGGGTTCGAATCCTGCGAGGAGCAGGAGTCGTGGATGCGCACTGCTGAGGAGTCCCATACTAGGACGAAACGGCCGTCCAGTGCTTCCAGGTTTCTAATGGTGGTCTAACAATGATGATTGATTAATGATTTCAAATGTGTAAAAACGCAAACCTCCAAAACTGTGCCCCAATATAATGTAACAGTGCTCACTAGTGACTAGCTTCGTGAGGAAATTCTCGGAGTTCTAGTTGAGAAGACGTGACCAGTGGAGTTCAACCCTGTCGGGTGTAGGCAGTAACTACCAAAGACAAATGGGTGAGGTCGCGCAAAATCCCTAGATCAATCAGAGTTAGACATTAACACCGTTGGATGCCGGCCCAGTGGTCCGATGGTAAGGCGTTCGCCTACAATGCCAAAGGTCCCGGGTTCGAATCCTGCGAGGAGCAGGAGTCGTGGATGCGCACTGCTGAGGAGTCCCATACTAGGACGAAACGGCCGTCCAGTGCTTCCAGGTTTCTAATGGTGGTCTAACAATGATGATTGATTAATGATTTCAAATGTGTAAAAACGCAAACCTCCAAAACTGTGCCCCAATATAATGTAACAGTGCTCACTAGTGACTAGCTTCGTGAGGAAATTCTCGGAGTTCTAGTTGAGAAGACGTGACCAGTGGAGTTCAACCCTGTCGGGTGTAGGCAGTAACTACCAAAGACAAATGGGTGAGGTCGCGCAAAATCCCTAGATCAATCAGAGTTAGACATTAACACCGTTGGATGCCGGCCCAGTGGTCCGATGGTAAGGCGTTCGCCTACAATGCCAAAGGTCCCGGGTTCGAATCCTGCGAGGAGCAGGAGTCGTGGATGCGCACTGCTGAGGAGTCCCATACTAGGACGAAACGGCCGTCCAGTGCTTCCAGGTTTCTAATGGTGGTCTAACAATGATGATTGATTAATGATTTCAAATGTGTAAAAACGCAAACCTCCAAAACTGTGCCCCAATATAATGTAACAGTGCTCACTAGTGACTAGCTTCGTGAGGAAATTCTCGGAGTTCTAGTTGAGAAGACGTGACCAGTGGAGTTCAACCCTGTCGGGTGTAGGCAGTAACTACCAAAGACAAATGGGTGAGGTCGCGCAAAATCCCTAGATCAATCAGAGTTAGACATTAACACCGTTGGATGCCGGCCCAGTGGTCCGATGGTAAGGCGTTCGCCTACAATGCCAAAGGTCCCGGGTTCGAATCCTGCGAGGAGCAGGAGTCGTGGATGCGCACTGCTGAGGAGTCCCATACTAGGACGAAACGGCCGTCCAGTGCTTCCAGGTTTCTAATGGTGGTCTAACAATGATGATTGATTAATGATTTCAAATGTGTAAAAACGCAAACCTCCAAAACTGTGCCCCAATATAATGTAACAGTGCTCACTAGTGACTAGCTTCGTGAGGAAATTCTCGGAGTTCTAGTTGAGAAGACGTGACCAGTGGAGTTCAACCCTGTCGGGTGTAGGCAGTAACTACCAAAGACAAATGGGTGAGGTCGCGCAAAATCCCTAGATCAATCAGAGTTAGACATTAACACCGTTGGATGCCGGCCCAGTGGTCCGATGGTAAGGCGTTCGCCTACAATGCCAAAGGTCCCGGGTTCGAATCCTGCGAGGAGCAGGAGTCGTGGATGCGCACTGCTGAGGAGTCCCATACTAGGACGAAACGGCCGTCCAGTGCTTCCAGGTTTCTAATGGTGGTCTAACAATGATGATTGATTAATGATTTCAAATGTGTAAAAACGCAAACCTCCAAAACTGTGCCCCAATATAATGTAACAGTGCTCACTAGTGACTATAGCTTCGTGAGGAAATTCTCGGAGTTCTAGTTGAGAAGACGTGACCAGTGGAGTTCAACCCTGTCGGGTGTAGGCAGTAACTACCAAAGACAAATGGGTGAGGTCGCGCAAAATCCCTAGATCAATCAGAGTTAGACATTAACACCGTTGGATGCCGGCCCAGTGGTCCGATGGTAAGGCGTTCGCCTACAATGCCAAAGGTCCCGGGTTCGAATCCTGCGAGGAGCAGGAGTCGTGGATGCGCACTGCTGAGGAGTCCCATACTAGGACGAAACGGCCGTCCAGTGCTTCCAGGTTTCTAATGGTGGTCTAACAATGATGATTGATTTTAAGTGATTTCAGATATGAAAATACATTAGCCGAAATAAAATACCTCACCCATATGGTTGTGGGTTAATGAATGACTGAACGAATGAATAACTGATCGAGGTCATCAATGTGTAATTTAGCATTATTGGCACATTTCGTAGGGCGCGCGCGCACACACACACGCAGACATACACACACACACACGCAGATACACACACAACGATGAATACCAGTCAGTATGAGAGATACAAACTCGAAGCAATGTAAAAGAATATGATGGAAATGAACAACAAGTTCGTAAAATAATTTACAAACAAGGTATACATGTTGTGCTTGATAACATTGCACTGGCTTATCTTTAGTGTTTGGGTAATAGTATTTTTTGTGTGAAGTTATTCAGTCACTCTTACAAACTAACTGATAGGAATTGATAAACTTTCGGAAACAATGGAAGAAAAGCTAATAGTTGTTTTCACCTAGGTACATATTGTAGTGAACGAGAACACAGGTGGGGCAACCGAATTGTATTTAACGAAAATTACAGAGTTACTCAGCAAAATTGGAAAACCATATCGTAAACGGTTAATTTACAAATCTTCAATCCATCATCAATCCATTGTCTAACATTTCACAATTCATGCGTTTCACACAAATCCCATTGTGTTCCCACTCTTCCTTTCTTGATCTTCTCCCATCTTCTGCTGCCAGACATTACGTTCTACACTCACGTCATATACTACTTATAAGTAGCTCGCACCACACCACTACTACTACTACTACTTTATTTATTGTAGATTAGATTTGACGCACTGATGAACATTTGATTTAACTAGGACAAAATAATACAATTCTATTTCACAATACGTGATTCAACACAGATAGAAACGGTTGAACTCAAAACTATTAGCCCACTATATATCAATCATCTTAACCTTGAATTCTGAATAATTTGGTTACCAATCAGGGAAACTTTTTGACATGAAGAATTTCGACATTCTGTACATATATATATAATACAATTCAGATTAATGACAAAATTCACTTCAATACATTACTTAGTTCTATTTTATTTTGGTTACAATTAAAAGTAAAGCTTATTGTAGTGTAAAGGGATACTACCCCTAAACTCAGGTGGTTTCATTTGGTCGAAAAATAAAATTTCGGAAACGCGAAAAAAATTATTGCCTGACATGAAACAAAAGGTAATAGAAGTGTTCTGGCCTATTTGCATCAAGATGGGCTGCCTCTTCTACTATCCTACACCATATATATGTACACCATATGCTAGCTATACTGCTGCTATATAGAGATATATAGGTCTCCTATGAGACTAGAGGTTCGCTGTGAATATTCTGGATAGCTTTGCTTTGCTTTGGTAAGCATTGTTAACAGTCTATATACAAAATTGGTGAGCAGGGCGACCGATTTCATTGATACTACTGGTGGTTGTTTTGCAACATTTCCGAGGGCCATGGTCATTGGGGTACTGTATTACATATCACCATTGCTAATAATAATAATGAGTTTGACAGTCATATAAGCGGGATGGGTCGAAATGGCCTGTTCATGCGGTTGACGCGATCATATATATACCAGTGTGTGTATATGTAAATGGTGTGAATGGTCCACCAGGGTATCTGTGTGGTTCCACCACACGACTGAGCCAAGCTATTCATGTACTAATGGTAAAACGTGTCCAGTCTCTTTGGTTCTCCTGAAAACCAATATAAAATTGCCCCCTTGACAATACAGGGTAAATTCACATATTTTTGAATGATTGTTATTGTTAGTAATAGTTTAATAACTCCCAGCGTGTGTTAAAATTCAGCATTGGGATTAATCAATACCTGTTGACGATTGATTTTTACATCGCCTAGTGTGTTACTAGTTTCAAAACATCCTGGACGTTACTGTTTGACACAATTCAAAATGTAATCAGGAAGAATGTTGTTTATTTTCTAAAATTCTCTACTCTATAAATATTGGGTTCGTCACTAAGTCTGCTTGAGGCTATTACGAGTTCACCTTAGTCGATAAACGCGAACGAGACAATTACCAGAGTTCAGATAGGCTACCTTGTATCCCAAGCTGTAGACAGAAGTCTTTGTAAGCGTAGAAAGTATATTCTACAAACACCCAGCAATCACACAGTACAATCAAGCATACAACTCTCGTTTATTTATACAACACAGAAACGTCCTAGTGGGACAGTCACAAAAATAACACACTAAAATACTCAGCAGTCAATCACACAGTCATGGATTTTCCTGGTGGGACATAAAATCTCAAGGTCAACTGATTAGCCCATGCTGGCAAACGTGAAATCCAAACAAAATAAGGCATTTATCAAGCGAGTTGTGTTGGGGATCTGATATCCCCCCATGTTTTAATTTCATGTATACAAACTTTGTCACTGGTTGTAAAATCTTATCGTTTCTTGTCTTTTCTATTTCTAGTTTATTGCTGGAATTGTAACAGTGATTGGTGGAATATATATTTGGGGCGAAAAATCTTTGCATAACAGCCTACATACATTTATCCTAGATGGAATCAGTAGTTTAAAAGATAAGAAAGAAATTACAAAGTTACTGTTTAAATTATTCGATGAGATTCGTAAGTTGATGTGATTTTTGGTCAAAAATTTTCATAACTATATATTATTAATTAAAAGAATTTGCACATAGAAATCACTACGTACTTACTTACCTACTTACGCCTTTACCCCCAATCGAGCATGGGCCATCCACCAGTTTTCTCCAACCAACTCTGTCCTGGGCTTCGCTTTCCAGTTCTGTCCAATTTTCAATCATTCTTCTCATATCTTTCTCTATTTCTCGAAGTAATGTGTTCCTTGACCTTCCTCTTTTCCTTTTGCCTTCAGGGTTCCATGTAAGGGCTTTTCTCGTGATGCACTTAGGTGCTATTCGTAGTGTGTGTCCTATCCACTTCCACCGCTTCTTCCTGATTTCCTCCTCTACTGGAATCTGGTTTGTCCTCTCCCACAGTACATTGTTGCTGATCGTGTCTGGCCAACGAATCCAAAACCATGAGATGATCATTTTTAGATCACTATTAGAAACCTTGGAACACTGAATGGCTGTTTCGTCCTTGCATGGTACACATCAGTAATGCGCATCCACGGCTCAATGGTCCATAGGTTAGGTGTTTGCGCGCAGGACCGTAGGTCCTGGGTTTCAATCCTACAAGGTGCAGGAGTTGTGGATGCGCACTGCCGATTGTTGGGGACGTTAGATCGCCAGGAGTCACTTAACAAAGGACCTAAATTTTGACTTTATTCATGGGTCAGTCAGTTGACCTTGAGATTACATTTCCCACCAGGAAAATCCTCGATTGTCATTGGTTGACGTGTTATTTTAGTACGCTATCCAAGGACGTCTCTATGATTTGTAGATAAACTTAATTTGTATGCTTGAGGACCTCGATTTTCTGGGTGCTTTTAGAATACACTCTATGCACCATATCAAGACATTTTGATACCGTTAAAAGGGCCTTGGGATGTTCGGATTAGAATAGCCTATCGTGTCACTGGATCACTTATCTTAGGCCTCATTTACCGGGTAAGGTGACTTCGTAATAGTTTCAAGAATATCAGTTGACGAGCATAACACTGAGAAACGATGCGAAACAGCCGTCTTTCAGTGCTTCCAGGTTTCTAATGACGGTCTAGCATTGATCGATCCATCATTTCAAAAAAGCAACTCAACAATCTTCACATTACCATAATTCAAATGAGGAAATCACAACTTACATATTGAGAAGACTGAGGCAGGCGCTGAAGATTGTATTATGCAAATTTACCCTCTGAGTCAATTAAAAACGAAAACATTACATGAACACTCTATTTGCACACCATCTTTGAGTCGTGACTTCCAACACTCCATCCTTCTTCCATTCCTGTTGTTGCCTGCCTTTCCTTCCTGTTGGTACTCCATTCACTTCTTGCTTTTGCTCCATTCGCTTTCCGTTTTCCTCTTCTGACCGTGAGACTTCTTCTTTCACGTCGCTTCTTATACTACTTATATCGTTCGTATAAGTAGCACACACCACAATATAACTAGGTCATAAATGGATACCAAACTGAATCCTGTATTCATTGTTAGTGAACAATAATTATGAAATAGTAAAACTTCTAACAACACTCAGTAGTTTAAATGAAAGCTAACATCAAGAAGAATACAAACACATAAAATTACGCAATCAAAAATATTTTTACAAGTTTATTTTTTTTACCGTAGGATGATACTTGCAAGAGTATCACTCGTTCTAACAGCCTCTGAATGATTTTTAAAGTGAACTATGTTACGTCTGCACGTAAACACGTCAACTTGATATGCTTGAACTATTATGAGTTCAGCTAAATCGGTAAACGAGAGCGAGGATCGAGGATCCGGCAACACGACATGTTACTCAAATCCGTTTATCCCAATCCCCATATTGAGTAAAAAATAAGAAGATACGACATGAAGTAGAATCTGTATTCTACAAACAGCCAGAAAGTACGAGGTCCGAATCCAGAAGAGAATCACCATCTCGGACTATTGATTCGGGTCAGGGTCCATAAAACGTTACACATAATGCATATTTATACATTTTGGTCGAATAGGAAACAGCATCGAATTCTGTGACATTGACAGTTAAGACGACCAATAGGAAGTAACATTTGAAGTGACATTGATAGTCAGGACAACCAATAAGAAACAACATTGGAGCACGTGACATTGATATCTAGGACGACCATAAAATTGACCAGTATGAACTAACCAATAGGGATAGACCAATAATTCTCTTAGGATATGTGATGAATATCATAACAAACTATCATCATGGATTTTTCTTTTCATAACAAATCGATATGAAATATTATTACTATTATTATTATTATGATTATCGAAATATACTTTCCATGTTTGACTAGGCTCAATCGAATATTGATCATATGTGACTTGAATGATTATTATTATTATTTAAATTTATTGATAAAATCTTTGATTTAATTTAATTTGATGTGATTTTGTCTACCACAAAAAAACTACAATCGAATAGAACCATTTGGAGTGTATATTTTTATTGTTGGCCTAATTGTCTTCATAATTTGCTTATTCGGTGTAATTGGAACATGTTTCAAATGTAGACAAGTGATTTATCTAGTAAGTGAAATGAGTATTTTTTAAACTTGGTATGTATCATTAAATTATACGGATGATTGAATATTTATATTTAGTTGCATTGGAGATAGTTGTGTTGGGGATGTTCGATCCACAACACAATTCGCTTGATAAATGCTTTAGTATTTGGATTTCACGTTTGCCAGCGTGGGCTGATCAGTTGACCTTGAGATTTCATTTCCCAATAGGAAAATCTTTGGAGGTGATTGGCTGCTGTGTATTTTAGTGTGATATTTTTGTGACTGTCCCACTAGGACGTTTTTACGATGTTTAAATAAACGAGAGTTGTATGCTTGATTGTACTGTGTGATTGCTGGGTGTTTGTAGAATATACTTTCTACGCTCACAAAGCCTTTTTACTTCAGCTTGGGGATTCAAGGTAGCCTATCTGAACGCTGGTTCATTGTCTCTTTCGCGTTTATCGACTAAGGTGAACTCGTAACAGCTTCAAGCGTACACCTAGTGACGAACATAACAATTGACTAATGTCTATTTGAAAACATTGTTAAATTAAACTAATCTGTTCGTGGCATACACATTTATTCGTTAAATTTGTATCTGTTTTAGTAGAGTGAGTGATCAGTTATATTCATTCAGTACACAGTGAACCTTTTTAAGCTTCTCAAACTGATATCACTCTTATCTCCTGAACTTCATCCAATCTGGAGGTTTTTACCATCTGGCATGACTTAGTTTTGCGTTCTGTTTTTTTTCTGGTGATTTCATGAAATAATACTATGATTTAGTTTGGTTTCTTCTAGTCTTCCTCGAAATTGTTCGTGTACTAATTAATCATCAACGTTAATCAGAGTGGATTGTGTGTGTGTAGCAAATTCTCCTCCATACACACCAGTTCAACTGTAAAAGAAATCTAATTAGAGGTTAAATTAAAATGAAAGACCTAATAATTATTTGGTTTGGTGACATGGACTTCACTCTGTTATATAGATAGTACATAAAAAAGCTATAATTTCTGGATTGTCATTAAGTGACATGGTGAACTTGATAAGCTTATCGACTGATATGCTTGGAATGGTTGAGTTAACCTTACTGGGTAAACGGAGCGCAGATAAATGATGCAGTGACGGGATAAGCTATTCTAATCCTATTGTCCCAGTAACCGCTAACTAGATCAAGCGGTCTTGCTCAGGAGTACAGAATGTATTCTACAAGCATCCAAAAAATTCGAGGTTGCTAAGCACACAAATCCAGCTTATTTATATAATGATAGAGATGCCCTCGGGCGAGCCCGAAAAATAGGGTATTGAAATAATACATCAACCAATGACAGTCACGGATTTTCCTGGTGGGAAATGTAAGCCGTAGGTCGACTGAGCAGCTTATACGCGAGAACACAAAAAAATCCAAAATTAGGACTTTTTCCAAGTGCAAGAGTCGTGGATGCGCACAGCTGAGGAGTCCCATAACAGGACGAAACGGCCGTCCAGTGCTTCTTCCAGGTTTCTAATGGTGGTCTAACATTGATCGATTCATGGTTTCAAAAAATGTGCAACTTAACAGTCTCCACAACCCCGTAATGCAAATTATAAGATTCGTCACGTTTATTTTAGGCTATTTTTGCACAGAACTTCAAAGAGATGCTAAAAGCTATGTTCATTCAAATATTATCGTATATGTATATATATATATATATATATATATATATATATATATATATATATATATATATATATATGTACATATATATATATTTGTAGTACACATTTCATACATTCCCTAATCTGACTTTGTTTTAATTTTATTTTTAGTATTTAATACTACATTTGTTAGTTCTTGTACCTGAAATTGTAATCGTTGTTGTGTATTTGTGTCGACCAGATATAGTAAGTTTGTTTTCTGAAATATTGTGACTTTTTTCTTAAAGACGTTGTGAAATTTATTTCCCAATATTTTTTTTCGGTATTGACTAACTGAAAAGATTTGGATGATAGTTTTGTAGAAATCCTTGTGATATTGCCGTGAAGGAGAACACAGGTGGGGCAACCGAGTTGTATTTAACGAAAATTACAGAGTTATTCAGTAAAATAGGAAAACCATATCGTAAACGGTTAATTTGCAAATCTTCAATCCATCATCAATCGATTGTCTGACATTTCACAATTCATGCGTTTCATACGAATTCCATTGTTTTCTAACTCTTCCTTTCTTGATCTTCCCCCATCTTCTGTTGCCAGACATTACGTTGACACTCACGTCCTATACTACTTATACCTAGCTCAAACCACAATATGTGTACTCAATTTAATTAAACATATATTACTGCTTCAGTTAGGTTTTACATTAGAATTGTGATAAACTCAAATGTACATTTCTATCGTAATAGATTTGTATATTTTTAGAATGAGTGAAATAATCGCCTTGAATTTTGTAATTTATGTACTTTTAATACAAATGGTTGAGGTCACGCAAAATCCCTAGATCAATCAGAGTTAGACATTAACAGTGTTGGGTGCCGGTCCAGTTGTCCAATGGTTAGGCGTTCGCGCACAATACCGAAGGTCCCTGGTTTGAAACCTGCGAGGTGCAGGAGTCGTGGATGCGTACTGCTGATGAGTCCCATACCTGGAGGAAACGGCCATCTTTCAGGGCTTCCAGTTTTCTAATGGTGGTCTGGTAATGATTGTTTGATCATTTCAAATGTGCAACAAACACTAATCTCCATAACTCTAATTGAGAGCTTTTATACATCAGTAACAGTTTGTAGTTTTTCTGTTGCCAGATTTTCAAGACTGCATCGAAACATATTATCTGTTGTCCTAATTAGTATACTGACCGAATGATTTTAGAATAGACCAATCATGGTTAGTATTGGAATCCTAGACTGAATAATAGTATTACATAGGACTTATCAAATCGAAGTACTTGGATCCCATTTTTTAAATGTCCACACTAGAACCCGAATCTAGTATCCGTTGAATTCAAAAGGCAACGTGTTATTATAAGTTATTGAGTTCCAATGTTCACTAACTTATTCAATAGTTATGAAGGAAAATAGTAGCGATTTATAGTTACCCATTGTTGAAACTGAGTAATGAAAGTGGGAAGGATTTGATTTTGACCAATTTGGTCTCATGTGCTGTCACGGGTATCAGGGCGGTTGTCACTTCCCGGCTGCCTACATCGTGGAAGGTTGTTTCTTGAGGGACTTGAAAAGGAAGATAGATTGGTGTTGGTCTTAGAGACCTGGTTGCGTGACCTCAGAGTCCAAGGGACAACTGCTTGAGACCGGTCACGCACGACTTTTTTATGAAAGGTTTTTTGAGTATTAGCTCAGCTCTTGAAAGCCCTTAGTGGGCACCCTTACCGCTGGAAACGGAAATCCATGAGGTAAGGTGAGGTGTGACATTTATAGGGTCGACCTTTTCTAACCCCTTCCTTCCTTGTGAGAAGGCAGTATCGCTGCACATGCTGGTTATCCGAGGGAAACACCTTACTGCTGTCACACCCCTCCACAGTCAGTCAGCATTACGACTTCGCCATCAGACCTTGAGTAGCTGCTTTCAGTCTCATCGTTCTCCAATCGACCTGCCTGACATGTTAGAACCTTCAGGAACATATGTGCTAGCCAATATAGCTCGGTTGGATCATCACGATAGTCAAGCCCGACTACCACGTCAAGGTAGCAGCTACGGTCGGGTGATCAGCTTTTGTCAGAATGTGCACAGTATGAAGATCCATATTAGAATGTAGGTAAATTTAACTGACAGTCTTTAAACAGAACCAAATGCGAAGCCATGTATTTAACTGTTAACCAAATATTTTGAATGTTAAGTTGACACTGAAGTATATAGATTTGTATTCTAGTCTAAGGTTCTAAATTAGACGGCTAGAGGTTGCAGAATATGAAAGTTCTAACGTCACAGCTATGTAAGCTGTTATAAGCAATGAACAACGAGGAAAAAGCAGGGCCAATTAATGTCAGTACATCAGATGCTTTGTATCTACCAGTAATTTTCAAATTCTTTTATTTCACAATCGAGTAGTTCAATATTTAACACCACGTAATGGAAATAATTTTGTTGTAAATAGTTTTCAAAACAACAAATGTTGTCGTAGATTGAGAACTACGTTTTATGATTCTAATCAAACTAAGATTTACTTTAGAAGAACTAATCTTGGAAGATATGATCAGTGAAAACTGTACTCTTCAGTTTCTACATTGAGTCTTAAAAACAGTTTTGGACAATATATCACGTAGTGTGATAGAGAAGATCACTATCTCGATTTTAGTGTGGGTACAATTTGACTGAGTACATTGTCATGATAGATAAAACGTATTACATTGACAAGTATAAATCAGTAACAAATATGATTACTCTCACTTCAGGTAAGTTATATTTCACTGTAGTGAGAACATTCAGTTTAGCCAACTATGACTCTATACACACAACCGAAAATAAAGAGAGAAATTCTGACATTCTGATTGTCTGGGAAACAGAATGAATTTCTTCTTTTGCATCGCTAACTGACCTTAGACAACCACTAAAGACAAGAAAACAATCGACACATGTTTTATCATCATTCTTAGATAGTGTACATCTAGGACCTCACTAGAAGTGAGACCTGTGAATTTCAGATCTCATAGAGAGCTCTTAAACTCTTGATCAATGAGTTGACATTTCTAACCTCAATCACTTCGCATTATCATTCAATCATTATTCGTTACTTTGGTAATATTCATCTCGAACACAACAGGATCGAGCATCACCGGTCATAGATTCACACCAGAAGTTCAGGATTTATAAATGTAAACTGTACCATATCAACTGAATGATCTGAAGTCCATTTGCTAGCTATCAGATCTAAAAGTTAAGAGTTTGACTCTTAATCGAGTTGCGGATGCAAAGTGCAGAAGAACTACTCACTAGAACAAAGAATCTGTCTAATGCTTAATGGTTTTTTAATGATTATCTGACTGAAGTTTCAACTTTTCAACTTTTAGTCTTGCTACTTATTTACTGGTCGATTTCATTCTGACTCAAGTGTGTCTGTGTGTACTTAAGGAATGCTTTTACTCTTGTCTTATTATAGGTAACCACATTTGGTCGCGATCTATTCAATTCAAGTATTCAACATTACGTCAGTTATGATTCACCAAATATACACAGTCATGCTTTAAATCAAATCATGATACAGGTGAGAAAAATAACTTGATGCTTTAAAAAAAAATATGTATTCGTTTGAAGTGTTAAGTACCATCAGATTGGAATGAAGGATACCTCATCAAAATACCAAAGAAAGGCGATCTCAGCAAGAGTGAGAACTACAGAGGCATCACTCTTCTTTCAATACCAGGCAAAGTCTTCAACAGGGTATTGTTAAACAGAATGAAGGACTTCGTAGACGCCCAACTTCGAGATCAACAGACCGGATTTCGTAAGGATCGATCGTGTACTGACCAAATTGCTACATTACGGATCATTGTGGAACAATCAATTGAATGGAACTCACCACTCTACATCAACTTCATCGACTACGAGAAGGCGATGGATAGCGTGGATAGGAAAACACTGTGGAGGCTTCTTCGACACTATGGTGTGCCTGAGAAAATAGTCAACATCATACGGAATTCTTATGATGGATTCAACTGCAAAATCGTACACGAAGGACAGCTGACAGACTCTTTTGAGGTGAAGACCGGTGTGAGGCAAGGTTGCTTACTCTCACCCTTTCTCTTTCTCCTGGTCATCGACTGGATTATAAAGACGTTGACATCTGGAGGGAAGCACGGTATCGAATTGACAGCTAGGACGCAGCTGGACGATCTGGACTTCACAGATGACCTGGCTCTTCTATCGCACACGCAGCAACAAATGCAAGAGAAGACGACCAGTGTAGCAGCAGCCTCTGCAGCAGTACGTCTCAACATACATAAAGGAAAAAGCAAAATTCTCCGATGCAACACAACATGCACCAACCGAATCACGCTTGATGGAGATACCTTGGAGGACGTTACCACCTTCACATATCTTGGCAGCATGATCGACGAGAAAGGTGGATCGGACGCAGATGTGAGGGCGCGGATTGGCAAAGCAAGGGCTGCATTTCTACAGTTGAAAAATATCTGGAACTCCAAACAACTTTCAAACAAAACCAATATCAGGATCTTCAATACAAATGTCAAGACAGTTCTACTGTATGGAGCGGAAACATGGAGAACTACCAAAGCCATCATCCAGAAGATACAAGTATTTATTAACAGTTGTCTACGCAAAATACTTCGGATTCGTTGGCCAGACACCATCAGCAACAACGAACTGTGGGAGAGAACAAGTTAGATTCCAATGGAGGAGGAAATCAGGAAGAAGCGGTGGAAATGGATAGGACATACACTACGAAAAGCACCCAACTGCGTCACTAGACAAGCCCTCACATGGAACCCTGAAGGCAAAAGGAAAAGAGGAAGGCCAAGGAACACACTACGCCTAGAAATAGAGAAAGATATGAGAGGAATGAACAAACATTGGACAGAACTGGAGAGGGAAGCCCAGGACGGAGTTGGTTGGAGAAAACTGGTGGGCGGCCTATGCTCCATTGGGGGGTAACAGGCGAAAGTAAGTAAGTAATATATATATATATATATATATATATATATATATATATATCCCGCTTTAGTTATTATTTTGTCTGTTTTACTCTACCGTTATTCTCTGATATTTTCCCACTGTGTTGTGTCCACGCATTAATTAATTTACACTCAGTAGTTAAACTATTCCTAAGCAAGTCCTTTGCTTCAATAATCATGATGTGTGTCTGATAAGTAATTTATCAATATTATTCTAGCAGAATTACATTTCCATAGCAGACATTGTCTAGGGTAGAATATCAGTCAGACAATCCCAACTGTTACCATTTGCACATAAGTTCTCTTTCTTTATTTATCATCTCTCTCTCTCTGTTTAAAGTTACAATGTTGTGGTCTTAACAATGGAAGTGATTTTGCTCCTGCAAAATTTACAAGACAGAATATTGTATTTAATGGTGAACGATGGTATGGTAAGTGGAAATGTTTATATTTTCATATATATAATGAGCTTATTTACTTGGTTATTCACAACGGGGTTAAGTTGAAATGGAGATGAGAATCTGAGTGACAGTGTAATTATTTTGACAATTTAACACAGAGTTGTTGATGAATCAAAGTAGTGACAATGTAAATGTATAATTTATCAAACGGAATCATAAAAAAGCTTAGATTTAGAGTGGAAGAATGGTGTGTAACTGTTTGGATGAATATTTAGGGCAGTTAGTGGTTTGATTTCAAAAGTCGTTAAACTGTACATTTCAGTCTTATTTTTTTCCGGAAGAAAAATTAGTCACATTTATTTTTAGGGAACTTTTAAGTATTGCTCACATTCGTCCCTATTCATAAGGTGTGCTATCTGTTTGTCAGTTTTAGAGATCTCACTAACTATTTATTGGTTGGTTTTACTTAGGTGACTGGTGACTGACGAAATCTCAGCTTGGATACAGAAGGCTCGATTGGCGTTTGCCAACCTGCGTCACCTATGGCGTAGGCGAGATATCCGTTTGCTGACCAAAGGAAGGGTGTACTGCGCAGCAGTTCGCTCCGTTCTCCTATATGGATGTGAAACATGGCCGTTTAGAGTAGAAGATGTTCGTAGGTTACTAGCACTCTATCATCGATGTCTGAGAAGCATTGCTCGTATATTGGGGGACAACCGAGTAAGCAATGCTGTCGTTAGGAAACGAGTACTATGTAAGGATGGCAGATCAATAGATGGAGTAATGAAACTTTATCAGTTGAGGTGGTTGGGACATGTGTTACGTTTGCCCAACCACCGACTGCCTCGACGAGCTATGTTTTGTAGTGTAGGAGTAGATTGGAAGAAAGCTAGGGGCGGCTAAACCAAAACATGGCACAAATCCATGAAGTCACTGACAAGTGAACTGAGTCATGTCTGTAGATGTAGGCTACCTAGTTGGGGTCCGTGAGACGAAAGTTACCGATGGTTAGAGACCTTGAACGACATGGCTCAAAATCGTTTGCAATTGTACAAGTGCATCCATTCGTTGGATGAGCTCTCTCAAATCCTAATCTTTTGGTTTCGTCAGCACATTTACTTTTGTCTTTCTAACCTTATCTCACTGAATTATACTTCTTGAATAATATCTTCAAACCCTATTCTTCTTCATTACCATTAATACCTCTACTATCTTTATCACTATGGGATTCGATTCGACATTTGTGTCTCTGTGCTAATGTGGTATGGCAACATGAACTTATGTACATACGTACAAAGTCCTACGTTGTAACTGACTGATTGATAGCAAGTCGTCATGATTTATCTGTACTACTGTATTTGTGTCAATATGATTGGTTGTATATCTGCACCTCAATTATGTATCTATTCTCTAATTCGTTGTACACTTAGATAATCAATAATGATTAACACTCACAAAGTATGTAGATATGCTGGTCATTTTTCATTCATCCACTTACCCACTTGCTTTCTGGTGTGTTCGACTCTTATATGTCTTGTGGGTTTCATTATCTGTCAACAATTCTCAATTCAGTTCATAATAATACTGACAGAATCAACCTGAGAAAGTAAATCACTGATGAGGCGATAAATTGGAGTCAGAACTAAGGATGCAAATAACCACCACATGTGTGCCAACTTTTAAAACATCCTGTATTATATTTTTGTACATTTGAAATCATCAATCAATCATTGTTAGACCGCCATTAGAAACCTGGTAGCACTGGATGGCCGTTTCGTCCTAGTATGATATTTCCTCAGCAGTGCGTACCCACGACTCCTGCCCCTCACAGGATTCGAACCCGGGACCTTTGGCAATGTAGGCGAAGGCCTTACCATCGGACCACTTGGCCGGCATCCATCGGTGTCAATGTCTAACTCTGATTGATCTAGGGATTTTGCGTGACCTCACCCATTTGTCTTTGGTAGTTACTGCCTACTGCACCCGACAGGGTTGAACTCCATTGGTCATGTCTTCTCAACTAGAACTCCGAGAATTTCCTCACTAGTGACTAGCTTCGTGAAGTTATACGTATCTTATTTGAAGAAAATATATGACGTTAACAATAATTTTTTTCTAACAAAAATATTCAAAATGATCAATGTTCTTTTGTTTTGTTTAACTGTTTACGCCAAATTTCAATTGATAAGAATTTAAATATCCAGTCAGTTGTTGTAAAAAGAGTAAAAGTCAAGAACTAATAACAGATAATGGATGTCCTGGTCAATTTACTTTGGAAAATAGTAATATACATATAGGATGTTGGACAAAAATCAAAAGTTATATAATGCTATACGGTAATTTAACGGCATATACATTATGTGGAATAGTAGGATTGCAGGTAAGTATAATTCTGTTGTACCTAGAAAATATTTGATACAGTTGCGTTTCTGTACAGTATAAACAAATTTTGTCTGACATTGTTGCAGAACATTCAATGACGCATTTTTTCAGGGGAACAATCTGAACTACTTTAGATTTTGTTAGTAGTAAAAATGAGAATAAAGTTTGAATTAACACCTTTGGATGTGCACTCAGTGGTCTAGGGAGGAAGCGTTCGCGTGCAATACCGAACGTCTTGGATTGGATTCTTGCCAGCAGCGGTCGTGGATGGATCAGTGCTGAAGAGTCCAATTATTTCAGTGCTATTTGCTGAATTGAAACTCTCAATAATAGACATTTTTGTAATTTGAACAGAAAATGAGAAGACATTTTGTGAGATAGTACCATTTCGTGCTTTCTCGTCAGTCACATACAAGCAACATGTTATTTGTGTAAATACAGTTTTAAAGATAAGGTCAAAATTTGTTATTTGGCATGATATTATTCACTCACTAGAACCATGGTAAACAAAGGTCAACATATTCCAAGATGGTTAATAATCCACCTAGCCCGTCATCTCAAAATCGATCAAGAAACCCAGCCTCGTCCATTGCAAAACATCTAATGATGAGTTGTCATAAAATATTGACCCAAAATCAACCTTTAGAGTTGTGACATGTCAACAAAACCTACACGCACTGAAACTATTCGAAGTTATCTTGATTGGTCGAAAAAGTCCAACTTAATGTGTTCAAAAACAATTGTATGTTGACCTTTGTTTACCATGGTTCTAGTGAGTGAATAATATCATGCTAAATAAGAAATTTTGACCTTATCTTCAAAACTGTATTTATACAAATAACATGTTGCTTGTATGTTACTGACGAGAAAGCACGAAATGGTACCACTATCTCACAAAATATGTCTTCTCATTTCTCTGTTCAAATTTATCAAAGGGAACCACTGTTTTGAAGTTCTAAAAAGGAGACTCCCACATTCTACCATTTTTGTAATTGACACAGTTGATAAAGGAGGGCAACCATACTTAGAATTCCTTAGCGGATATTCCGCAATTTGGTGAAAGTTACTCAAAAACCCTAGTATATTGTCACATGTTCAAAATTAAGTTCTTCGAATTTTATTCAGAAAAGTATTGAGCATTATAGGTGTTAAAGAGCCTAAAAACTGTAACAACTGTCTTCTCAGAATTGAAGTCAATGTAAACCACCAAGTCATCATTGATATTTAATTATATCACGTACATTTTAATCTACATGCTAAATAATTTGATATTTCATATATTATTAAAGTGGACTGGGTGAGTGAGATGAAGAGGTCATTGCATAAGTCAAGTAACACAAAAGATTACTTACTTACTTACTTACTTACGCATGTTACCGCCAATCGAGCATAGGCCGCCTACCAGTTTTCTCCCCAACCAACTCTGTCCTGGGCTTCCCTTTCCACTTCTGTTCAATGTTTGTTCATTCCTCTCATATTTTTCTCTATTTCTCGGCGTAATGTGTTCCTTGGCCTTCCTCTTTTCCTTTTGCCTTAAGGATTCCATGTGAGGGCTTGTCTCGTGACGCAGTTGGGTGCTTTTCGTAGTGTGTGTCCTATCCACTTCCACTACTTCTTCCTGATTTCCTCCTCCACTGCAATCTGGTTTGTTTTCTCCCACAGTACGTTGTTACTGATGGTGTCTTTCCAACGAATCCGAAGATAACTGTTCATAAATACTTGTATCTTCTGAATGATGCCTTTCGTATTTCTCCATGTTTCCGCTCCGTATAGTAGAACTGTCTTGACATTTCTATTGAAAATCCTGATTTTGGTTTTGGTTGAAAGTTATTTGGAGTTCTTGATATTTTTCAATTGTAGAAATGCAGCCCTTGTTTTGACGACCCATGCATTCACATCTGCATTGGATCCACCTTTCTCGTCGATGATGCTGCCCAGATATGTAAAGGTGTCAGCGTCCTCCAAGGCATCTCCATCGAGAGTGAGTGATTTGGTTGGTGCAGGTTGTGTTGCATCGGAGAATTTCGCTTTCTCCTTTATATATGTTGAGACCTACCGCTGCAGAGTCTGCTGCTACACTGGTCGTCTTCTGTTGCATTTGTTATTGCGTGTGCGATAGAAGAGTGAGTATAAATAGTGGTAACATCAAAGCTGAATTCATTTACAGGCATGATTTAAATGATTCGTTAGTCTTTGTAACAATTTGTCGCATTTATAATTTTCCAGCTTTCTGCTTTCTTTTCATTTTTTTTCAGATTCTATTAATACTGTTTGTTTTAACTAGTATACGTACAAAGCGAAAAATCAAACCAGTTTGAAACCATGGAATTCAATGAGAATATTGATTGGTTAAATCTCATAAATGTTTTTTATTTACAAAAATCAAGTCTTCAAAAACGATTGAATACTCGTTATTTATATATAAATTTTTATTCTTGTTTAGTTTTTAAAAAAACAAGTACCAGTTACCTGGTACGCATGTTTGACACTTGTAAAACCAAATGTTAGGCTGAAAAAATTTTTTTTTACATAATCTGATAATGTCAATCAGATGAATGTGAAAAATTATATCGTCTTATTTTATTCACAAGTTTACAGATATGCACATTCAAAAAAAAATCATTATTTGCACAACGAAAATGAAACAATTGTTTTTTTAGAACACATATCATTTTATACTTAAATAGGTTATCAGTAGTTTAATGTCTTTTTTTAAAAAAAAACAAAATACACTATGGATGTTTCATTTTACCTGATAAAATTGAATTTTTTTCTGGTTGAATAATAATAATTTTAAGAACTTTATAAAGTAATTGATATTTGAAACTTTAAATAAAATTTCTATTATTGTTATTTTCTATGCAAAACAGTTGCAACAGACTGTTAGTTTTGTAATGAACGAGAACACAGGTGAGAGCAACTGGATTGTATTTAACGAAAATTACAGAGTTACTCAGTAAAATCAGAAAACCATATCGTAAATCGTTCATTTTCAAAATATCAGTTCATCATATCGAACTGGACTGTTCCTGTTGCCAAACATCAATCCATTGTCACTATTCATGCGTTTCATACAAATTCCATTGTGTTCTTCTAACTCTTCCTTTCTTGATCTTTCACCATATTCTGCTGCCACCAGACATAACGTTAACACTTACGTCATATACTACTTATTAGTAGCTCACACGACAGTGTTACATTCTTTTATGATAGTTTGTACGCTAGTGATGAGATTGTCATTTATTTTTCACAATAGTGTATCGATGATGGCCAAAACTCAATAAAACAAGTGATTATTGTTAGTAAACTTAGTTAATAACGTTTCTGGCTTAAGAAACACCGGAGACAATTCACAGAATCAAATAAAATATATATTGTATTACGGCGTTGTGTAAGCTGTTAAGTTGCACATTTGAAATCATGAATCAATCAGTGTTAGACTGGCTCAGTAGTCTTGAGCTCAGGCGTTCACGCGCAAGAGCAAAGGTGCTGGGGTCGAATCCTGCAAGGTGCAGCAGTTGTGTATATGTACTGATGTTGAGTCTCATATCAGAACGACACGGCCGTCCAGTAACTGGAACAAAATTCTTGACAGATGATCGGTCAAGACCACTGATACAACACTGTAAATTAGCTATTAAGTTTAAAGTCTATTTATCTTCTAGTGAAGTCAAGTTTCTAATCCTACAGGAATCAATTCGTGAAATCGAAAGGAAATCCTATTAGAACACGTTACCACACTATCCTAGTTATCCAACATGAACTGTGAATTGATCGAAGTTAGACATTAACACCGTTGAATGCCGGCCCAGTGGTCCGATGGTTAGGCGTTCGCACACAATACCGAAGGTCCCGGGTTCGGATCATGCGAGGAGCAGGAGTCGTGGATGCGCACTGACACTGATGAGTCCCATACCAGGACGAAATGGCCGTCTAGTGCATCTTCCAGGTTTCTAATGGTGGTCTAACAATGATAGATTGATGATTTCAAATGTGTAAAAACCCAAACATCCCAAACTTTGCCCCGAAAATTTAATTATTGTCAAGTTATAGTTTTTGATATTTATGATGACTTAAAATACCAATGTTTACCAAATAAGAAATGAAGCTTAGAATTTACTTCTTGAAATCTATTATTCTAATATATCAATCTACTTAATATTGATTTATTTGCTTTAATCCTTTTGTAAATCGGGATCTTTGATTATTCAATATTGTGATAAGCTTATTCGATTGTATTCTAGGTTAGTATGGATCGTTCGGAAAAGTTAGATAGTGGGTGGTTTGTGTTTTCAATATTAAAAACGTATAACTTGATGACATTGATCACTGTCAATGGAATGATGCTTTTGTGTAAACTGGATGTATAATTTACTATTTAATATTATTAAACCTATTCAGTGTATGAAATATGTTGGCTAAAAACGCGAATATATATTGTGGTGTGTGCTACTTATACGAACGATATAAGTAGTATAAGAAGGGACGTGAAAGAAGAAGTCTCACGGTCACAAGAGGAAAACGGAAAGCAAATGGAGCAAAAACAAGAAGTGAATGGAGTACCAACAGAGGAAGGAAAGGAAGCAACAACAGGAATGGAAGAAGGATGGAGTGTTGGAAGTCACGACTCAAAGATGGTGTGCAAATAGAGTGTTCAATGTAATGTTTTCGTTTTTAACTGACTTAGAGTGTAAATTTGCATAATACAATCTTCCTCGCCTGCCTCAGTCTTCTCAATATTACATGGAAGTCATGCATCGATCAATGTTAGACCACCACTAGGTAACTGGAAGTACTGGACGGCCGTTTCATCCTGGGACTCAACGTCAGTGTTCATACACAACCCCTGCACCTCATAGGATTCGAACTCAGGACTTTCGGTCGCGCATGCACACTGCTAACAAATTGTCCGACACCAGGACGTAACGGCCGTCCATGCTTCCAGGTTTCTAATGTTAGTCCAACACTGATAGATTTATTGTCACAACTCCATCCTACGAATATACTATACACTGAAAACAAACAAGAGAAATTCAAGGGCATTTTATTTTGTGGTTTTTTTGAAATTTATTCTACCCCTTGTTTTAAATCTGTTAGATGAGACTCACTACTACCGACAATACACCAATTTTTAATAGAGAACTTCTTCGAAGATTTCAGGTATATAGAAATTTTAAGAATATATATACATATACTCCTAAGAGAAAATTTTAGGACACCTTTGGTTTAGTTATCGTTTTGTGGTACGCGCTACTTATAAGTAGTATATGACGTGAGTGTCAACGTAATGTCTGGTGGCAGCAGAATATGTTGAAAGATCAAGAAAGGAAGAGTTAGAAGAACACAATGGAATTCGTATGAAACGCATGAATAGTGACAATGGATTGATGTTTTTCAACAGGAACAGTCCAGTTCGATATGATGGATTGATATTTTGCAAATTAACGATTTACGATATGGTTTTCCAATTTTACTGAGTAACTCTGTAATTTGCGATAAATACAATTCGGTTACCCTCACCTGTGTTCTCCTTCACTACAGTTTTTCCAAACAAGCAGAAATTATGTCTTGAGGGTATGTATACATATCAATAATTGTCGTTTTAATGTATGAAACGTACACGTAATACTAATCATAATTCTTGACTATATTCTATTTCGTCGATGACCATGTAGTATGTTTTTATGAATAAGGATGAATAAAGTTAAGGATTGTGTGTATTCATGAATTTTCACGCATCTGTAAAATAAAATAACCGCCTTGTCTAACTGATTTCATCCGTATTCGTTGAAATGATTTTTCAGTTATTAAAAGATTCGATTTAGCATGTATGACCAAAACTGAACAATAGTTTAAGGAGATGCTTTACGTAAAATGTGTGTGATTTTGTATCAGTGGTCTTAATAGATCACCTGTAAAGAATTTTTTTTCATATTTTAGTTTTTATGGTTACGTGGTACATGCAAAATTAATTTGTAAGACTAGCTGATATTTATGAATTACTTGTAAACAATTCAGTAGCATATTCTATTGATTCAAAAATATATATTAACTGTTCTTTAATGTGATGAATGGCAGAGATTAGATTGATCCAAACAAATGTTGCCTTTAATTTAATACTGACAAACGTCATCTAAGAAGCTGAATGAAATCGCAAAGGCTGAACACGACCATGTCACTGTTTAGGTGTGTTACACAACAATAATATACATCAGTAATTCGTTCCGACGCTGAAAGGTTGATATACTAGTTTTGTGATGGTTACATTATCAACAAGTTATTCAACGTGAAGATAAAGTCTGAAACTTTTTAAACTGTTGTACAGACATAGCCTGTTTTGATTAATTGATGCTCATCATCACCAGTAGTTTAGTTAATCCAAGTTTCTGGATCTCTCACTAAAAAATCTGACAGAAACAAGTCTTTGTCTTTTAGTTAATTAAGTAGTTTGTAGAAATTCAACTGAAAATTGTTGTGTCAACTATTAATCTCTTTTAAGTTACACATTACAAAATAACTTTGGACAGAAAATCTTTGTTTTAGTGTTAGATTTCGAATTGATGAGCGTCCACAAGCTCACTAGGTTTCAGGCTTTTTAGAATTTGGTGGACTCAGTTTTACATGAGGCCAACAAACAACACTGTAAGAAAGCTGGCAAATTTAGAGTCAACTTATCTTATGGTGAAGTAAAGTTTCTAATCTCACAGGAATAAATTCGTGAAATCGAAAGAAAATCCTATATAGAACACGTTACTAGACTTTCCTAGTTATCTCATATGAACTGTGAATTGATTGAAGTTCGACATTAACACCGTTAGATAGCGGTTCAGTGGTCCAGAGGTTAGGCATTTGTGCACAAGACTAAAGGTCCTGAGGTCAAATCCTGCGAGTTGCTGCAGTCAAGGGTGCGCAATGCTGATGAGTCCCATACCAGGACGAAACAGCCATCCAGTGCTTGCAGGTTTCTAATGGTGGTCTAACATTGATCGATTCATGATTTCAATGAGTATTATGAACTATTTTTTCGTTTTAAATTGTTATTCTTCGGTCTTTTAACAGTCGATATCTACTAGATCAATATTGAAAAACTGATTATTAAACCACTGAATTTACATAAAATCATGTATGCACTAACATATTTTGGCCAGCAAAATAATTCTTCTGTATACGCTTACTGGAATAGTAATAATAATAAACAGTGTTACAACTGGGATAATGAATGAGGTATTAGCTAAACAAAAATTTTTAAAAACAAGTCATCATTATCTCATTAACTAATCTACATCTACTGTTACGCAAGTATACCTACCAATTGTTGTTTAATGAGACAAAAGTAAGGCAAACAAACTAACTACATTAAAGTTTATAATGAAACAATGTAAAACATATTTTGTTTTAATGTCTAACCACAATTCAAGTTTCGCGGCAAACAATAACACTGATGTTACATAATGTTATATAATGTGGGTTATAATAATGAGTGTTACGTAAGACGAGTTGTTTTGAAGAGAAAAATAAAATTCATACATGAATGTGTTCATGCTACTTATAATCCTTATTAGAATCCGAAATTACATGAGTTTGAACACAAATGGAATCATGTCTTTTATTTGTAGATGTATATATGTATATATATATTAATCTTGATAGTTTAAATTCTAATAAGTGATTATTAGCATGACCTAGTATAATGATCATCTTTTGGAACAATTAGATAGATAGATAGATGTGTGGATAGATAGATAGATAGATAGATGTGTGGATAGATAGATAGATAGATGTGTGGATAGATAGATAGATAGATAGATGTGTGGATAGATAGATAGATAGATAGATGTGTGGATAGATAGATAGATAGATAGATAGATAGATAGATAGATAGATAGATGTGTGGATAGATAGATAGATAGATAGATAGATAGATAGATAGATGTGTGGATAGATAGATAGATAGATAGATAGATAGATCGAGAGTGAACGAATACCAAATTGGATCAGTCGGATTTGATCTGTTTCATTGTAGAATAATCTCTAGTACAAGTGAATTTTGTAGAATTCATATCATATGCAATAATGGAAGGTTTGTAATGCGTATGTTTGCCATTCGGACTTGAATTACTTGAATCACAATGATTGTTATAATAATAATTATGATTAGTGTTATCATTGTAAGTAGTAGTAGGAATGTAAGTCGTAGTAGTAGTGGCAGCAGCAACAGCAGTACTCGTCGTGGTCGTCGTCGTAGTAGTAGTAGTAAAATCAAGAGCAGATTCAAAATAGTTTTTCTTACTTTGATCATATATGAGAAAGTTTTTAATTAATTCATCCATACGAAGTTGTGCTGTGAAATTTGTCCACTGTCGATGATTATCATTGCTACTTATTATAGATGTTATAGTTGTTGAAGTATGTGGATAGTATGAATTTGTGAAAGGTAGTGATGTCGACAGTGGTACTACTGTAGGTGATGTAAAAAAAGATGTAGTTGTTGTTGATGATGTCATTGATGATCTGTCGATTGGAGAAGATAATTCTGAGAGGAAATTACAATTTTTCATGTGATTTTGACTGGAATTATTGCGAAATTCTTCTTCGCCTTCTTTCATTTCCATAATTAAACCATAATGATGGTTTTGATTTTTTGAAATTCTACCATCTGATGTCATATCGATAATTTCATTCATTGTCGATGAGGAGGATAACGATGATGACAAGACAATCCCGTTAGATGTTGAAGAAGAAATATTGACATTGTCTTCAACACTTGAACATTTCTCGTCGTCATCATCATCATTTTCATCTTCACCATCATCACCATCCTCATTTTCTCCAAGAGAACTTGGACATTTGGATGAGGAATTATTTTGAGTAAAATGTAATTCGGGTATATTACGTTTTAGCTTTTTATGTTTCATACGTCGATTTTGAAACCAAGTTTTCACCTTTTTTTTAGATAAAAAATAAAAAATATCTATTTTAATGAATGTACTTTAACTAATATAAAGAAAATCATAACATCTAACCGGTGTTCCTTGTTCTTTGAGTTTCGATTTAACTAAGGAAAATCTGTTTGAAACTTTTCATATGGCTTCCAAAAACAATCTGGCATCATGATTTAGTTTTAAGTATAAACTATGGACCACTGGAAGTAAGTTAACAAATAATATTGAAATAACGAGTCGACACTAACCTTAAATCTGGAAGCACTGAACAACTGTTTCGTCTTCAACAATCTTCACGACTTTGTAGTGAAAAACATCAAAATTTTATCACTAGTGATTGACTTCGTGAAGAAATTGTCGAAGTTCTAGTTGGAAGCCGTGACTAGTGGAATTCAGTCCTGTCAGGTATAGGCAGTTAGTTACCTACTGAAGACAATTTATTGATTAAAGTTAGGGATTAACACTTTTGGATGTCAACTCAGTTGTAGAGAGGTTAGGCTTTCCCGCGCGAAACCGATGTTCCTGAGTTTGATTACCGTGAGCGGAAGTCGTTAATGCACATTGCTGATGAGTGCCATACTATGCCTTGACGTCAGTCCAGTGCTTCCAGGTTTCTAACGGTGGTTTAACAATGGTCGATTCTTGACACCTTTGGTTTAGTTATCGTTTTGTGGTGCGCGCTACTCATAAGTAGTATATGACGCGAGTAAAAACGTAATGTCTGGCAACAGAAGATGGGGGAAGATCAAGAAAAGAAGAGCGAGAACACAATGGGATCTGTATGAAACGCATGAATAGTGAAATAAATGTCAGACAATGGATTGATATTTTGCAGCATGAACAGTCCAGTTCGATATGATGGATTGATATTTTGCAAATGAACGATTTACGATATGGTTTTCCTATTTTACCAATTAACTTTGTAATTTGCGATAAATACAATTCGGTTGCCCTCACCTGTGTTCTCTTTAACTACATTACTACCTCACATTTTCAATGATTGTCTATGCCAATTTAGTCAGTGATGTAAATCGTTCTCATATTCAACAGTCATCACAAGTAGATTGCCATTATAAAATGACAATGTGAAAGTCCCTTCAATCGAATACATAAATGCGTCTAAAAATCTCTATTTACACGGGTATGTTTGATAAAGACACGAAAAATAAACTTTACTACTTTGTCACATTACATGTTATTATTATAAGTTACAAGGCAAAACATGAAACAACCAACCATCACTCACTTGTGTTTCTGACAAATTCAATCGATTAGCTAATTCAATACGTTCTGGTGTAGATAAATAATGTTGTGTTTCAAACCGGTGCTCTAACCCACTTAATTGATGATCACTAAACACCGTACGTGCTTTACGACGTCGACATTGTTTCGATGAGATTGTAGTATTTCTATTATAGATTTGTATTGAAGAATAGCCGGACACTGAAATAAAATAGTTGAAAATTAACTGACTACTCAAAAGTAAAAAATGAAACAATTTAGTTAGTAGTATATTCTAGCCTCTATTTCTTCTTACATGTTCCGAAAGATTTAGCCGATATATGCATCATAAGTAATAATATGTTTTGCAATAGAAAATTTCACATGATGCGTATTCAATAAAGTGTGGTGCGTGCTACTTATAAGTAGTATATGACGTGAGCGTCAACGTAATGTCTGGCAGCAGAAGATGGGGGAGGAAGATCAAGAAAGGAAGGAGAGCGGGAACACAATGGAATTTGTATGAAACGCATGAACAGTGAAATGTCAGACAGTGGATTGATGTTTTGCAACAGGAACAGTTCAGTTCGATATGATGGATTGATATTATGCAAATTAACGTTTTACGATATGGTTTTCCTATTTTACCAATTAACTCTGTAATTTGCGATGAATACAATTCGGTTGCCCTTACCTGTGTTCTCCTTCACTACAAAAGATGTCTTCATTGTTGCAATTGTTTCCTAGAGTTTTTCCATCGTATATAATAATGGGGTTATACTTTCTCAATGGATGAAAATCCCAAATTTTAATTATATAGGTTATAAATACTAAACAAAATGTATTTTACTGTGGTGGAGTTTTGTTCTCTGATCTGGATAATATGGTTGTAGACCTTCCATTGTTCTTCTTCTCAACAACATCATCATCAGCAGCAGTACAAACTTCAGATAGAAGAAGTGAAGACTATTTAAATTTCTGCATGTTTGACGCCGTAGTTTGTTTTGTTAACCTCGATCTTGAACGAGCTACAAGTCACTTCTTCGGTCTGAAGTTGGTGCTGATGATGATGATGTTGTTCAGAAGAAGAACAATGGAAGGTCTACAACCAAAACAACATCCAGCTCAGAGAACAAAACTTCATCATAATTATCCACATGAGTTATAAATTTTCTCCACTAATCTCAATAGTTATACTGTATGAAGATAGACAAACGAAGTGATAAGTAGTAACGCTTTCTCATAACAAGTAAACATTCAAATAATCAAGAAGATTTTAACTTTTCATCGTATTGTCTTTACTGAACTGATTGATTTATATTTGCAAAATTTCGCATCGTTTATTCTAGTTAAAATCCTTAGTTGAACCCAGGACCTTCGCTATTGTGCGCGAACGCCCTAACCGTTAGACCATTGAGCCGGTATCCAACGGTGTTAATGTCTAACTTGATCAAATTCACGGAGTTGCTGAACCTCATACACAGTCTTCGGTAGACACTGCCTACACCCGAACAGGTTGAACTTCACTGGTCACGTCTTCCCACTAGAACTCGGAGAAGATTCCTCACGAAGCTAGTCACTAGTGAGCGCAGGTAATTTGCATTACGGGGTTGTGAAGATTGTTAAGTTACACATATATGTAGTAATATCAATAAGACGTATCACATTGGCCTAGAATTTTAAGGTAAGAAAGTGCATACTAATCATGAGAGAAATATTTCTATGCAACATACTTTTTATTTAGTTTGATGCACAAGTTATTAACAAAAGCATTTCAAAAAATCTAATATCCCAGGTGGCGAAGATATTCAGGTAGTGATTGTCATCGTGTTTTTAGTAAGGCAGTCGTAGAATATAACAAACTGACTGAAGTTAACAATGTGAACCAGTTGGATATATCAACTCAACACTCTAAAGTTCAAGCATTTGCAGAGAAACCTAGAGATCCTGATGTTTTTGATCTTCGATTAGACTATGGATGAGAGCTGCTCATGAAGTTTTATACTGTTAACCACCACCTAGTTTTTTAGAAACAGCAATATAGCTACAATCAGTTCATGATTTCAGCTACAACAAATGCTTGTCTTGCTGAAATTTCGTCAGACAAAATTTGTTCTCTGATTCATTAAAGAGTAATGAGGGGGAAAAAAATACTTTGAAGGATATTATGATAACCAATGTAAGTTGGTTGGGAATAGAATCGTTGAAAATTTGTGGACATTTGATTGATTTACTTTAATACTCGTTACAAGTTTTAAATACTGTGGAATTTAATCTTTATATGACTGTTGGAAAGTTCTTAAATAAGAGTCTTCTGATTATCCTAAGCAACAATGCAAGCATGTAAAGGATGCGGTTCTCCCCGTCGAAATGCAAAATGTTGCTTCAAGATTGGGTTTCATTGGCACCTGAACTAGTGATAGGGAGTGAAGTAGTTGAACGTGTAGACCGCTTCACTTATCTGGGGAGTCTCATCAGTGCCGATGGCCTGGTGACTGACGATATCTCAGCTCGGATACAGAATGCTCGATTGGCTTTTGCTAACCTGCGTCACCTATGACGCAGGCGAGATATCCGCTTGCTGAATAAAGGACGAGTGTACCGCGCAGCAGTTCGCTCCGTCCTACTATACGGATGCGAAACATGGCCGTTAAGAGTAGAGGACTTTCGTAGGTTACTAGTCTTCGATCATCGATGTCTCCGAAGCATTGCTAATTTATCCTGGGACAACCGTATAAGCAATGCTGTCGTTAGGAAACGAGTTCTATGTAGGGATGACAAATCAATAGGTGGAGTAGTGAAACTTCATCAGTTGAGGTGGTTGGGATATGTGTTACGAATGCCTAACCACCGACTGCCTCGACGATCTGTGTTTTGTGGTGTAGGAGTAAGTTGGAAGAAAGCTAAGGGCGGCCAAACCAAAACATGACACAAGTCCATAGAATCACTAACAGATGGACTGAGTGATGTTGGTAGATGTAGGCTACCTGGTTGGGATCCGCGAGACGAAAGTCACCAATGGCTAGAGACCTTGAACGAAATGGTTCTAAACTTTTGACCTACTTTATTAACGAACATTCTCAAGTTGATTCATTCGTTCGATGACCTAATCGTTTTCTTGACTCATACATACAATCTAATCAATGGTTATACATTGTGTCCACAGTATAGAATCGTGTTTAAATCATACTTATCTTATTTGAAGAAAATATATAACAGTTACAATCTGTGTGTTAAGTTAACAATAATTTTTTTCTAACGAACCGTAACTAGAGCCTTCAGGTCTCATAGAGGATTCTTAAAATCTCAGACCATTGAATGATTCAAACTTTAGTTACTTTGTAATATGATTGATTTGTAACACAAATATTAACTGTGAATTACGAAAAAAATCTACACAGAACTGTTTAAATCCAATGAAGCTGAAGTACTTTTTAATTTCTGTACAATAAATTTTTTGACTACATATAAAAAATGATGTCAGCTTGTAAAATAACACTTTATTTTACTAGTAAATGTTCAGTGCAATTTAGAATATGTCAACCACTTTCCTTTACTGATGTTGCAATATAAACTGGATTGTTAACCCTGTACCTGATTCTTCCTCTTTACCTAACCGTAAGCAAGTGGTCACTTTCAAAGGGCTCTAGGATAGAGTTACATCTTTCAAAAGAAAAGAGCATATCTTTACATCGATGAATGACATGCCTGGATGTGTAACAATAAAAATTATTTAGTAGATTAGTTATGGTAGAGCTTATATTTACTTTTATTTACTTGTATGCAGTTTAACACATTTGAGTCTTGTTCTGAGATGAGAGTTACGATGAAGTAGAATGTGAATGGAGAGTGTAAAGAATAACGTTAACTAGCTAGCTGTTTGTAGGATTTCAGATACTCACTTACAGTTGTAGTGCCTCCACGTATATTCGAGTCCGCTTACATTTAATTTGGTTAAGCCCTTTCGATTAATTTATTTAACCAAGCCATTTGTAAAACAATAACTTATATGTACCATTGGCTTTTATTATTGTGTGGTTTGTATGAGCTGGTATAACTGAGCATTGCTTAACGCCTACGCGCATATGCATCCTATTCGCTTTAATATTGATCTCTTAAATACCTCGATGACTCAGAAATTTTCCTTTTTATATATACAAACATTTTAATCTTTCTAACGCACTCGCACATTCTCCCATTCACTCGCTAGTGTGCCTGCCCCGTCTGCTTGTGGTCTGCTATTCCTATTTGTGGTGTGCCCAAAATGAACATATTCAACACTTCGAGTTTACCTTCTGATTTATAAACCATCAGACGCTATTTGGTAACGATTGTCTGGACTAACTAATTACCGAGCTTAAGAACACGTCGAAATTGGCCACCACAAATCTGATGAGCCCACCGTTCAATCTATCACATTTGCCACACAGTCATCACTTATGATAACCTCTAAAGTATCTTCACTTACCTTAATCATTGCTTTTAATATACTATGCAGGAAAAAGAAATCTACCTTCATATGTCCAAGAAAAACAATGAACTACAATTTCTGAGATGAGGTTATGTACGAAAATTCGCAAATCATTTCGAGTAGTGTGGTGTGAGCTACTTATAAGTAGTATATGACATGAGTGTCAACGTAATGTCTGGCAGCAGAAGATGGAGGAAGATCAAGAAAGGAAGAGTTAGAAGAACACAATGGAATTTGTATGAAACACATGAATAGTGACAATGGATTGATGTTTTGCAACAGGAACAGTCCAGTTCGATATGATGATGGACTGATATTTTGCAAATTAACGATTTACGATATGGTTTTACAATTTTACTGAGTAACTCTGTAATTTTCGTTAAATACAATTCGGTTGCCCCACCTGTGCTCTCATTCACTACAGTAGTACTAGAAATATGTAGCCTGTTCATATAAAAGACAGAATTTTCAATAAATAATAAATATCTTGCGTTCTAAGTAGTATGTTTAGGTGCTTTCATTGACTTAGACTAAATCTAACAGTTTTTTATATATTGGGAAGGATTGAGTGTAGACAATCATTCAACATGCGCTAATAACCTGTTCATTTTATTGGAACTTGAAGAGCGAGACAGTGGCGTACCAGATGGCAAGATTGCTTGAGGCATTTTTTTTAAATAGGAGATGGATGATAGGTCGTACAAGAGACGGGAAAGAACAGTTTCTCAAGACACGTAAGCTTTAGTTATTGAAGAAGTAAAGTAAAATCACCGTTAATAAGTTATGCAACTCCTGGTTTTCACCCTGGTAAAAATGTGTAATTATGGAGGTTTTACAAGAGAACTAAAATGTGAAGAATTAGTCTTCAAAAGTGTATTGAATAAGGGGTAGACAACAAAAGTTAATATTTATTTGTGTAAAGATTGAATTTACCTACCAAAAGTAGTAGTCCACGAGGTGAATTATATATCTGCCATTAGTAAAAGTATGTCCAGATGTGAAGAACGCATCTATTCATTTTGATCTGAGTTATGGACCTCTGTTGATTTCTCTTTGGGAAGTTTCCTCAAACTAAAAAGACCTCATCTATCAGTGCACTATGGCTGCTGTTTAATTTTTTTATTCTCGCAGTTTCATTATTTAAAACACAAATAATTTTGAGGTAAGGAATAAACTAGTTCTAAATGTTACTCAATTTCATACTTTTATTTTTCTTTGATTTCTGAACATAAAGACCGGCTTTGTTTATTTAAATCCTTAGGAAAGGAGGGCTTTCATTGTGTGCTCGAGTGGAATTCAATTCATGTTAAAGTGATGTGATCAAGAAATTTTTCAAAAACCGCTATGTTTTAATATTATCTACTAAACGGCTACCAAATGTGATCAGTAAGTGTTACTCTTTAGTACCACAGACATCTATATCACAATTACTTAGTTACTTACTTCCTTGCGCCTGTTACCCCGAATGGAGCATATACCACCGACCAGTGTTCTCTAATGTACTCCTTCCTGGGCTCCCATTTCCGGTTCTGTCTAAGTTTTGTACATCATACTTTTTTCTTTCTTTATTTCTCGGTGTAATGTGTTTCTTGGACTTTTTTTACCTTGAGAGTTCCAAGTGAGGGCTTGTCTCGCAACCCAGTTGGGTGTTTTTCGTAATGTGTGTCCTATCCACTTCCACCGCTTCTTCATGATTTCCTCCACTAGAATCTGTTTTGTTCTCTCCAACAGTAGATTGTTGCTGATAGTGTCTGACCAGCGGATCCAAAGTATTTTACATAGTAAACTGTTAGTAAACACTTGTATCTTCTGGATGATGGCTTTCGTAGTTCTCCAAGTTTCCGACAGATACAGCAGATCTGTCTCGACATTTGTATTGAAAATCCTGATTTTGGTGTTGATTGATAGTTTTTTCCAATCGTAGAAATGCACCCGCGTCCTCGCATTTGCATCGGATCCATCTTGGTTGTCGATGATGCTGCCCAGATATGTAAAGGTGTTAACGTCCTCCAAGGCATCTCCATCAAGAGTGATTTGGTTTGAGCATGTAGTGTTGTATCATTTATGTATTTTGAGACCTGCTACTGCAGAGGCTGCTCTACTGGTCGTCTTCTCTTGCATTTGTTGTTGCGTGTGCGACAGAAGAACCAAAACATCTGAGAAATCCAGATCGTCCAGCTACATCCTAGCTGTCCATTAGATAACGTGCTTCCCTCTTCATAATCCAATCGATCACCAGCAGAATATCTCTTAACTGATGACTATTAAATAATCAGTTAGTGTTAAACCTAGCTTCTGAAAAAGTAATTACTCAATTTTTTTTTCGAATTTGATTTCAAGTAGATAATGAATATATTTTCACCAAAACTCAATCAATAACTTTCAACTTACCAGGATTATGTAACATGAACGGTAACAGATTATGCGTTCCAGCATATTCATTCGTTAAAAATTCATAAACTTTTTGTGCATAGTTAGTAGTATCATTATCAATCTTATGATTAATATTCTCATGATTAGTTGGATAGAATATGGGCGATTTCGATTCATCCTGTAATGTTTTTGTGACAACATTCTGATTATTCATATAATCTTTAATTAAATTTTTAATCATTGTTAAATTCTCTTCATAGTGTTCATTGGTTTTTTTCATTGTCAAATCTTCTTGTCCATAATTATCATGCTGATCAGGATAATGATAACTAGGAACATGATTCTGTTGCTGTTGCTGATGCTGATGAAGATGAAGATGCTTTTGTTCATCAGCCAATAAAAATTTCTTTCTCAAACTATTCACATCAACTTCGTGTTGTTGTTGTTGTTGTGGGTGTTGTTGAACACTTTTTGTCATGTCTAATTTTGCTTTTAGAAAACATTCTAATTCCGATGGAGTTGTTGTAAGATTATTTTCGTAAAGATTTTGTGTTAATTTTGTAAATAGTGATAATTTCTCTGGACTATATGTATTTAACAATTGTGTAATAGTTGAACTTAGGTCAGATTGTTCTTTATTATTTACGAGTGGTTGATATTTGCTATCAGAGTGATATTTGATTGTCTCATTGGTTGTTGTTGTAGTGGTGCTTGTGGTTGTGATGTCGGCAGTCGAGGTCGCTGCCATTCGTTTCATATTCACATCATTTGAAGACAAATTCTCATGATCTGATGAGTATAATAATCGTTGAATATGAAAATTTATTGAAGGTGTATCATTTGAAATGTTGGTACAAAAGTTTGATGAGGATATTCCTTTGAAAGTGTTCATTTTTTCTCGAAGTCAACAAATATGATGATGTCTGTCGGGAATCGATTAAGCTACAATATATATACAGTTAAATAAATCAGAATGATTTCTATTTAATTATTCCGTTTTCTTAATATCAAGTACAAACCAATTTATAGCAAAAAAAAAAACGGTTTTCATCATGTTCTGAGCTAAGACGGCTGTAAATCGGTTTCGTTGTTATTTATTTATGATGACTAAACACAAGATATGATACACGACTATCATTATCGATTCTTGTATTGTGAAAAACTTTATCTCTGACGCTTTGACATTAAATTATCAAAAAGGTGACTGATTACTGGAGCTCAAATTTCGAAGTTCAAATCTTTATGGTCAGTTGGAAATTTCTCGATTAAATGTTCAATTATATTGCTACTGTCTTTCAATTCGCGTCGCATCACCAGTAGGCACTTCAGTAAAATTCCAAACTCTAATACTACTTTCTGATTTTTAAATAGTTTCCTATAGAACAGTATAAAAATTGTTTCAGCAGTAACTCATTTATTACCGGTGGATATCAACTTACCTTATTATTAATAAAACATTAAACTGTAAACCTTGTTGAATAAGGAATTATAAATGTGTCTGTGTGTGCGTGTGTGTAGGTGTATGTTGGTGGAGATAAAAAGGGTAGAAAAAGTTTGTTGCTGTTCTGTCTCTCTGTAATTCATAATTGAAGAAGGTGATCACAGATAATTTCATAATTTTTAATATACAGGGAAGAATTATTACTATGAGAAGGGGGAGAGAAAGTAAAGTTTTGGTATGATGATTATTATTATGTGTTTATCCCATTTTCCTCTTATTATTATTATCTTATTTTTCCTTAGAAAGAAAGAGATAATGAGGATAAACTGAGTAAAAAAATTACCCTACCATGTTTTTCCCTCTCATTGATATTCTAGATTAAAAATGTAAACGATGAAAATGAAAATATAAGGACAAATATTAAATGGTCACTGATAATTGGCTCAATCATTTTTGATCATTCAATAATGAATTCTGATTGGTTAAAAGTTAATTATCCAATTAGATGAACATAATTATTTGAATTTCTTAACCCCATGTGTTATATTTTAGAAATAATTTCAGATAACAAAAATATGGTAAGACGTTTTTTTTATTTGATACGAAACATAGAAATTACATTAGAAATCATCAATCAATCTTTGTTAGACCACCATTAGAAAGCTGGGAGAAGCACTGGATGGCCGTTTCGTCCTGGCATGGGATTCATCAGCAGTGCGCATCCACGACTCCCGAACCCCGCAGGATTCGAACCCGGGACCTTCGGTATTGTGCGCGAACGCCTAACGTTTGGACCAATGGGCTAGAACCCAACGGTGTTAATATCTAACTTTGATTGATCTACGGATTTTCGCGCGTGAGGAATTTCTCGGAGTTCTAGTTGAGAAGACGTGACTAATGGAGTTGAACCCTGTCAGGTGTAGGCAGTAACTACCAGAGACAAATGGGCGAGGTCGCGAAAAAATCCGTAGATCAATCAGAGTTAGTCATTAACACCGGCCATCCAGTGCTTCTTTCACGTTTCTAGTGTTGGTCTAACAATGATTGATTGATGATTTCAAATGTGTAAAAACACAAAACCTCCAGAACTCTGCCCAAAAATAAAAATAACGATTTATTCTTTAGTGTCATTTTAGTTGTGTTTTGTGAACTGATACGTTCATAGAATATGAAATCTTGTTATGGTGTTTCTTTCTCTGAACTGGATCTTTCGGAAAATCACAGATGACATAGGATCAAGAAGCAGATCAAAAGGAGGATACAGTCTACACAAAGGTGCGAACAACGATAGATTTAAGGTCAACAACAACAGCCAATCAAGATCGAGGTTGACAGAACAAGCTACAGGTAAAACGTGGGGAAATGAGAACACCTCACTTAATCTTAAGTTTGTGTAAGATCCATTTTGAAGGCTTCGTTTGTGAAAATTCCTCCATGTATCTAAATAAGTAGGTTTCTCATATTTCGACATTATTATGCCAACTTAATTACAAAACACTATACAATGGTCACATTGTAAATAAATAGAATATGATTGACAGTTAACCAATGAACCTATGAATAATCAAACGAATTTCTCCAGCTGACATTTTAATCATTAAAGAAATTCTAGAAGTGACACAAATACTTTTAGAAAAATGTTATGTTCTAGAGATTGTTAAAGTTGAAGTTTCACATTACAAAATCAACTTGGTTAGATGGTCACTGGAAACTCTGAGGTATAACTGTTTAGTTCTTAGTAGGCAACTACCAATCAATGCACATCTATGACCTCAACGAAGATGATGGTCAAAACTTCCGAACTTAAATTGCAACACTCAACTATTAGACCAGTGAGTTGACATCTAGTAGTACTCATTTATAACTTCAGTAAAATGTTGGCATTATTCGATCTTCTGTCATTCGCCGGTTTTGGTTTGACTTTTAGTGATCACTGTTGGAGATGATTTGAATTGTCATACCACAATCATTCAGTTACAGAGATGATAGAATAATCAATAGTTCTTAGTTAGGAAGGAGTACCTGTTTCAATGATCACTGGATTTTAGTTCTTTAATAGCTCTTGAATAGACTACCGTCAAATGTAGTGGTTGTTTGTCCCATCTACACTGAGTTAACTTAGTCAATCAGTGAACACTTGGAATTGCTGAGTTTTTTCTACCATTTCACTGTGAGATCACTCCATAGATGTGCACAATCACGACTGAATCAAGGAATGAACTTGGAGCGTTTCACGTTCCACAGCGAAAATGTTACTATAAGATCAATGAGTTACTATATAATGATTGATATTTACAAGTTCAGTCGACTAACAGTTGTTGTTTTCATGAGTCTATCGATGAACAAAGCAGTTTATATTACTATACCCTGTGTTAGCCACTAGCAAATAACCGATCTATTGTTTTACTCTTATCATACGTCGATGGAGTGGAAAGCTGCCAGCAGAAACTTCGGAGGCTACTGCCGGTCCCAAGCCCGGATAAAGGAAGGAGGGGTTGGACATGGATTGGCGCTGCCGTCCCAACTGAAAACTAACTTGCCCAAAAAAACGCTAACCAGAAAAAATAAATCAAGTCATTTTAACTCTGTCCTGGGAGTTGGAAGAACAATTATGACATCGCGTGATGAAAGCCCAGTTCCCTCGGAACTCACGAGACCTATGCCTTTTCTGACAACCAGAGCAACCATTCTTTTGGGAAAGCTGCAGGGTACATTGAAGAAAATAAAACTGCAAACATTCAATGCCCTAGGTGAATGATGTCATATTTTCCTTGATATCCATCTACGTTATAACAGTTAAAGCGTCCTTAATTTAAATTTTTAAAAAAATCTACAATTCACCAAACTAATGTCAACAAATTCAAACAATCATACTGTAAGATCCATTTTTGAAGGCTTTGTTTGTGAAAATCCCTCCATCTACAAATTTGTAATCTGTCCTTATTGATTCTTTCAGTTATACATTTTGTTAATCTGTTCGATTCCATTTTGTGATGATAATATTTGTATTTTATTATTATAGTTTCTATTTCTTCTTCTGCCTTTACAGAGTTCCTACGTTGTTTAAGCTGATACTCTTAGTCATGACGACAGCCATATTAATTTGTTCCTATTTTGATTGGATTGGTTGCACTGACTGGAATTGTGCATTTTGATTGTGAATCGAAGCACTCTTCCAGAATAGAAACACTCTGTGTTATAAGGCAACTAAATATTATCTGTCGAACGAATGTGATCTATCCAGTAGGGATAGAATAACATTTATTTGTTGTAGTTGATTTGATTAGCTAAACAATTGTTGGCGGAATAAACTGGGCGGTAATATTTGTTTAGATAATGATGTATATTTATATTTATGATGAAAAATTAGAACCGGTATTTTACCCAGTTCACTTGTTTTGGATGTCAGCTGGGTCAAGACGCATATCTAACCTACCTGAACAGTTATCTCTCTCAATCCAAATCTCAGTTTGGATTCTAAAATACTCGAACTAACATAAGTTAAATCTAACTGATGAAAAATAATCTGATCAAAAGAAAACTTCGGCTTAGTAAATAACCTATTCATTGAAAGACTTAATTGTGTGACTGTTTTTCTATTCTAGCATTAGCTTTCATAGAAGCTTGTTTAGGATGATTTTAATTTCTATGAGAACATTAATAAAATTTCTAATCAACACAAATGAATGTCACTAAATTTTGAACTACCAAGCAGCTCTGTCAAAAGTAATTACAGTTAAGGTATGGAATGTGAACTCCGTCTGTACACCATCTGAGGCTATTGCCGGCCTCAAGCCCGGAGAAAAGAGGATGGCTGGGCTTTGGGGTTGACGAACACATCCTGCGAAAAAATAACTCGCTAAAAAAATTCATCAGTTAAGGTAGTTGGGACATGTGTTGCTAATGCCTAACCATCGACTGCCTCGTCAAGCTATGTTTTGCGATGTAGCAATAGGTTGGAAGAAAGCTAGGGGAGACCAAACCAAAACATCGCACAAGTCCATGGAATCACTAACAAATGGACTGCGTCATGTCAGTAGGTGTCGACTACCCGGTTAAGGCCCAAGAGATGGTAGTAATCGACGGTTAGATACTCTGAATGAAATGGCTCAAAATCTTTCGCAATGGCTCAAGTAGACTCGTTCTTGGTGTTCTCTCAAATCACAACCTTCTGAATTCCTCATCACATTTATTTTTTTCTTCTAAAGTTTCGTTCACTAGATTATACTTCTTGAATGATATCGTCA